CCTGCCATCAGGGCAGCAAAGCAGGACCCTTCACAGATTTGGCCCCTGGTGACCTCACTGACAGGTGCGATCAATGACAAGGCTGAGTTGTATAATCTCCTGCTTGGCCCTTGGAGTCGGGGGCGAGGGACTCTGCTTTCATGGCCATGGCCAAGCTGTACGCCTCCAGATGGAGGGGATCGTGGGCCCTGGGTCTCCAGCACAACCCCAACCCACCGACCTACCGCCCCCCAGAGAGAAAGAAGGTCCTTCTCTGGGAAGGTCAGACACTGGGCTGGAACGTGGACAGGACACTTACCCCAAACCAAAGCGAGTCAATCCCCCCTCACAGCGAGCGAGCCCAGCCCATTGTCACCGCAGCTGGCCCAATCGCAGGTCTGTGCTGAGGGCGGCCGGCTTGCTGCAGGGCGCACCTGTGGGAGACACTGGGCACACATGAGGCTGGCAATGGCGGCCTCATTCTTCATGGTGCCTCATAGAAAAAAAGGTAGAGAGACTAGGCCCAGAGAGGTGAAATATCCCTCTCCAACTGCACAGCAGGTGAGAAGGGAATTGAGCTCGAGAGCAGCTGGCTCTAAAGCCTAAGCCCAGGCCACCTCTCGCTAGGGCCTCTGAATGCAGACTGCACCAGGCTCAAAGTTCCGAGGGCTACAGTGGTGGAGTCCAGAGACAACCCTGCCCGGTGCCTCTGCTGTGCAGCCGGCTGATCCTGCCGCTCTCCGCAGGGCTGGATTTCAGGAGCTGGTTCTGACAAGAGGAGGAGGCCGTTCACTGGTCCCTGCTCAGCTTACTCCCCACTCTGCCTGCGCAGGTGTGAGGATGCCGCGCTCCTTCTTGGTGAAGAGCAAGAAGGCTCACACCTACCACCAGCCCCGGGTCCTGGAGGAGGAGCTGGCCTGGCCTCCTGTCCTGATCCCCGGTGAGTCAGAGCCCAGACTGCCCCCCACCACCCCCACCTAGCACCTGGGGGGCCCTGCTCGACGTGAGGAAGGATGCTGCAGCCAGCCTCCCTGGGCTCACGCCCCCTTCCAAGGCTGGGAGGCAGGGGAGCTTGCTGGATGGTGGCTCAGTGGGTGAAGGACAGGCAGATGACTGTTGCCCTCTCTCTGGACTGACGGCTGTGTCTCTCCACAGTGACAAGGGACCAGGTCCTGAGCAATGGCCCTGTCCTCAGCACCTTGCTCCCAAACCAGTGCCTGGATTGCACCAGCCTCAAACGGGAGCCCGAGCCAGAATTGGACCCAAGCTTGACCAGCATGGCCTCAGTACAAGGTCCCCAGCCCAGCGGGTGTGCCAGGGGATGGGGGCCGGGTGGAGCTGGACTCCAGGAAGCAAGCAGGGCGGGCTTGGAGCAGTGGTGTCTGGGAAAGGCGGACAGGTCCTCTGCCGTTCCAGCTTCAGCTTGAACTCCTCTTGGCCAGGCTTCCTTTCCAGTGAGTGACTGGGGGTGGGGTGGGGGTGTGTGCAGCACAGGGCAGGTGGATGCAGGGGTTGATCTGGGTGCTGTCAGGCGGGAGCGTTTCTGTGTGGGAAACGTGGAGGAGCCACCTGAAACACACAGCAGATGGGGTGGGGAGCCCTATTTGGGTTCCAGTAGATGTCTCAGCATGAGGTGGCCAACCAGAGGGGAGTGGGGAGGGGATGTCTTAGTTTGGGGTTTGGGTTTTTTCTGTCACTTCCTGCTTCCTTGTGCACAGGCAGAGCAGACAAACAGAAGATTCTGGTACGTAAGGAAGTGTTAGCGTAGAGCAGACACAAATGAGGCGTGACGACATCCCCTACAGGGCTTGCTTTGCATGGCTGGGCTGCCACCATCTTCTTCTTCCTCTCTCACCACGCCACCCTCGTCTCCCTCACCGTCCTCCTCCTCCTCCTCCCCTCCCTCACCATCCCTACCATCCTCCCCACCTGCATCTCCCTCACTTCCCTGCATTACCTCCCCACCCCTCACAACTCTCACCTCCTCCATGACCCTCCATTCCCACCTGCCTCATCACCCTTCCCTCCTCCGCCTCTTCGCCATCCTCACCCTCTTCACCGTCCGCGCCCTCCTCTTTCTTACTGCCCTCATCACCCCCACCTCCCTCACCACTCCCATCACCATCGCCAATAAGTACAGAAGCACACTGCCTTCAGAGAGACCCTGTACGGACAGAGTGGAGTCGCCCCCCGGGATTTCTGAGACTGTGACCCTGCACAGGAGCAGCAACTCTCACCTCCCTCCCCACCCCACCCAGAGCACCTGCTAGGCTCATCCTGCTCCCCATGAGGCCAGTGGCCGAGTGAGGACCCACTACTCCCCCCTGGCCTCCCGCGCTGTCGATAACAGGTGGTTGTTGTTCCCCAAACTGGGCTAAACATTGACAAACATGAACCCATCAAATCCTCACCTGTCAGCCAGGAGTGTTACTTCTCCCTGGTGTCCAGAAGGGAAACTGACTCAGACAGGGGGATCCCTGAACCCGAGTTCACCCAGTCATCAGGTGGAGGAGCAGGGGTTCAGCCTGAGTCTGGGTGTGTCTGCAGCTCTCCCACAGGCAGGACCGTGACCAGCAGGTCTGAGCTCACCTGGAACATGTCCCTCTGTCCACAGAAGGTCCTGCTGTGATGTCCCGAGTCCGGGACGGTGACTCGCCTCCCTCGGACTCACCCCCGTTCTACAAGCCCAGCTTCTCCTGGGATGCTCTGGCTTCCTCCTACGGCCACGGCTACCAGCAGGCCCCCTCCACCATGCAGTCCGCCTTCCTGGAGCGCGCCGTCAGCCTGTACGGCAGCCCGCTGGTGCCCAGTGCCGAGCCCCCTCTGGACTACAGCCTCCGCTACTCCCCGGGCATGGACACGTACCACTGTCTCAAGTGCAACAAGGTGAGCTGCCTAAGGGGCAGCTGGGCACGGAGGGCCTGGTCCACACTCCCTCTCCCCACAGCATGCCGGCTGTCCCAGGGCCTGAGTATTCCCTCCGCTGTGGGTCTTGAGAGTCCCCAGGGGTAGGGGTGGGGGTGGGGGTATCAAGAATGCTCCCCCGCCAACACGATTTATTAAGCCCTAACCATGAACTTGGTCCTTGCTAAGCATTGGACCTGCAGGAGCCTGGGAATCCTGGGAGGTTTGTAACCTCCAGTGTGTGGGCGAAAGGCTAATACTCAGAGAAGCAGTTACTTGCCTAAGCCCACACAGAACCAGCGTTTCCGTAGAACCAGGAGAGGCAAGCTCATGGCCAACGAACTGATTGCGGCTCCTAGAGCACCTGCAGGACCGAGGAGAACGGCCTTACTTTGAGTTTTGATGTTGTTGTTCTTTAAAGGAGCGGAATCGCTTTTTCCCACAGAGTGACTGATGGCCTGAAGCCTCTGAACTTGCAATTGGAGCTGCTGACCCAGTGGCAGCCCACCCCACCACCGGGGCTTCTTGCATTCAAATACCAAGCCCCTCACCAAGCTACTGTGTGGATGCCAATGCCGAATGACTGCAACCAGAGAGGGCAGTTGCCCCTGGGGGTTTCCAAAGCCATGACTCTTTACCGGGGTCAAAATCCTCTTTTTTCTTCCGAGGAGGGGCTGGTGGGTTCAAACCGCTGACCTTGCGGTTAGCAGCCGGATGTGTCACCCCAGTGCCACCAGGGCACCTCCCATTCAACGACAGCTCGAGCCAACCCCCGGCTCTCGGCCCCTAGTCTATTGAGCCTCTGGCTAGGGCTAGAAGGAGCTTGCCCCACTCTAAGTTTCCCAGCCCCTAGACTAGGAGAGAGCAAGGGGCCTGCCCAAGTCCCAGGGCAGCCACGGAAGTCATTGTCCTGTGCCACAGCTGGGTGCAGCGGTGAAGGAGCTGCAGGTAGCCCTGGACCCCAGGCCTGTCTCCCTCTCTGCAGCCCCCAGTGGCCTCACACTCTGTCCCTGCCCCCAGGTCTTCTCCACCCCCCATGGGCTCGAGGTGCACGTCCGCCGCTCCCACAGTGGGACCCGGCCCTTTGCCTGTGACGTCTGCGGCAAAACCTTTGGCCACGCCGTGAGCCTGGAGCAGCACACGCACGTCCACTCCCAGGTGGGCAGCTGACCAAGCACCGGGCCCCTTCCCTGCTCGGCACTCCCCCAGGAAATTCAGGGGCCTGGTCTTTCGCCTATCCCTGAGGGTGACATCGAGGTAGGGGAGGAGCCAACCTCCCGGGGTCTGCGTCTCACACACCCGCCTGAACAGAGTTTGGTCCCTGATTGAAAGTCAGCTTCATATCTGATTGGAACAGGGTTGTGGCCTGGGTGGGAGGTCAAGGGCCATGGTCGGAAATGAGCTCACCCACTGGGTGTCTGGGCAGCTCCCCTCAACTCTTCGAATCTTGGAGTTAGGCTCTGATGTTCATCTTGTCCACAGAAGCCGGCCTGGGGCATCAGTTTTCCTTAGTGCTCCATGCGGGGAGAGTCCCTGGGGCTGACGTGGGGCTTGCACAGCTGGGCAAGAGGGCAAAGAGACCCTTTCGAGTTTCCACTCGAGAGCCGGGCCGAGGTCAGCCACCAGCTCCGTTCTCAGCCTTCGATTCTCCCGTCAATCCTTGCAGGCCACTGCTGCCACGTAGCTGATGTCTGAAGAGTTTCAGGATTAAGATTGCCCCCAAATCACTGCCACTGAGTCAGGCGTAGTGACTCTATAGGACAGGGTAGAATTGCCCCTGTGGGATTCCAAGACCCTAACTTTTGTGGAAGCGTAGACAGCCTCCTCTTTCTCCCAAGGAGGGGCTGGTGGTTTTGAACTGCTGACCTTGCAATTAGCATCCCTATGTGTAAGCCAGGATGCCACCAGGACTAGGCTAAGATTGGGCCCTAATGATTAAGATGGTTCACTAACTCACTGCACAGCCCAGCATTATCCCTGCCTCAAAGAACTCACTTGGGGTTCAGTTTCATAAGGGGGAAAGCCCCCAGAACAGTCTGTCCACCAGTTACTCAACAAACGTTTTTTTATGAATAAGAAAGAACTTTATAGACAAGAACAATTGAATATCGAGAAAACATCCCAGCCCAGTCCAGATCAAGTCCATAGTTCGATATGATCCCATATGTCCAATACCCGTCTATAAATTCCTCTTCAGACTCATGCAACACATGCAATGACGCCAAATGCAGGAAGATCTCAGGCCAGTCGGAGGGACGTCTTGTGGATCCAGTGGTGGTGTAGCGTCCCAATGCTGGCAGCGGTCTCCACGTGGCTCCTCCAGCTCAGGGCACTAGTGTAGTTCCATGTGTCTTGTCAACTGCAAGCAACAAACATTTTTTTGAGGCTTATTTTGAATGGGATACGGTGAACATGACAAAGGTCCCAAGCCCAAACTCCGTGGAAGCAGGATGGGTGAACCCCTGGGCCCTGTCCTCGAGGCCACCCCAATGGAGTCTCCTGTTCCCCAGGGGATGCTGACAGGGTCTGGTCCTGTGCTCAGCTTGGCGCTCCCGGGCGTCGAGGCCCCGCCTGCGCCTGACCTGGCAGGGCCTCGTTTCCCCCGGCAGGAGCGCAGCTTCGAGTGCAGGATGTGTGGCAAGGCCTTCAAACGCTCGTCCACCCTGTCCACCCACCTGCTCATCCACTCGGACACGCGGCCTTACCCCTGCCAGTTCTGCGGCAAGCGCTTCCACCAGAAGTCGGATATGAAGAAGCATACTTACATCCACACCGGTGAGCCTGCCCACCCTGCTCGCCCCTTCCGGCCCAGTGTCCCCCAAGCCAAGACCCACAGGGACCTGACAGATCCAGCAGGCCTAGAGACACCCACATTTGCCACACTGGCCTCTGGGCCCCCCTGTCTTCCATGAAAGACGCGTCCCAAGGGCCGTGGTTTGAGGACGGGAGCGGGATGGAGTTACAAAGAGGCTGGCCGAGCCCTGATGGCAACCGGCTGGGTTTCCTACGTGCCTAGAAAAAGTCTCTGGGTGACTCAAAAGGTTAACTACTCAACTACCTGCCAAAAGGTTGGCTGTTCAAATCCTGGCGATCTCCTTCCCAGAGGTCACAACCTGGAAACACCCCCATCACCCACTCCAAAGCAGACCCACTCCCCTCGAGTGGATTCTGACCCATAGAAAATCCTACAGAGCACTTCTGATGGGCACACAACACAGGGGTTTGCCACGAGCAGGCATCGACTCAGCCAGGATGCATAACAGGCCTGGAAAAAAACACTGGAAGGAAACCACCAGAAAGCCAGCACTGGCCCCTCTCGAGATGGGAGTGGGACCGGTGGTGAGAGTGCCTGTCATTCATTGATCCCTCAGACATATACTCAGTGCTTCTTTCGGGCCCCGCCCTGGGCCAGGAGCTGGGGCAGCTTGCTGGGCGACAGAGAGCCTGTCCTTGTCCTTAGCCAAGCTTGTCATCCAATGTGCATGTCCCTTTGCCAAGCTACCTTTTCTCATGCTTCGCTCACGTGAGCTAGTGACGTCTGAAAACAGAGTGAAGGGTCAGGAAGCTGAGACAGAGCAGGCGGGCCGCTGGCCTGGCCTGCCTGGCCTGACCCTGTCTTCGCTATCCGGCAGGTGAGAAGCCGCACAAGTGCCAGGTGTGTGGAAAGGCCTTCAGCCAGAGCTCCAACCTCATCACCCACAGCCGGAAGCACACGGGCTTCAAGCCTTTCACCTGTGAGCTGTGCACCAAGGGCTTCCAGCGCAAGGTGGACCTGCGGCGGCACCGCGAGAGTCAGCACAACCTCAAGTGAGGGCCCGCCCACTCCCCCCACCCTCCACTGGCCCACCCCAGGGAGGCAGGCCTCGGACCTGGATCCTCTGATGTTCAGAGCCTTGTTTCAAGACACATGAGCTTTGCTGTTTGCCCTTGGACAAGTCACTTCCCCTCTCGGGACCCGCTTGTCTCCTGCTGTGAAAAGTGTGGGAGCCAGGCTGGGTCTTTTGTGGGCAGCTGGTTTCTACGGATGTCAGAACACCATGCTTTCTTGGGCCAGAGCCTCCCAGAGTATCCCAGGGGTGCCGCCAATGAACCAATGAATGATTGACGTAGAACCCTCTCCCTGCCTGTTGCCCCTCTGGCTGGGATCTGGTCCTCTTGATGGGTGCTTCCGCCACCCATGCTGCTTGCCCTGGCAATGCCGGTGCTGCTCACCGGCAGGGGCCTGAGAAACCAGGACTTCTTGCTGGCAGCAGCCTGTTCCTCTCAACTGCTGTAAATACAAATAAAGATACAGGTTCGTTTACGTTGTGTGGTGGTAGGTACAGTGTGTGGTTGACAAAACATTTGCCATCTCTAGGATCCTCACAGGTACAGTTTAGGGACATCCATTCCACACGCTCATTGCTTTTAACTGTGGCTACACAAACTCATTGACATCTGACACAGAACCTACGGACTGCCTACTAGGTGCAAGGACTGCAGGAGGCTTTGGGGGCTTGGAGGAGCTTCGGAAAAGCAGAGAAGCTACACAGGGACTTGCAAATGAGCTGAGTAATCACAGCAAGCTGGCAAGCGCCACAGTCGAGCGTCAGAGAGTTTGGGTGACAAGATGATGAAGGCCAGTGGAGGACCACATCCCCCCCAAAAAAATATTGCCTTGAGTCGATGCAAACCCACAGTGACCCTAAAGGATGGCTAGAACCACCCACCCCTGTGGGCTTCTGAGAATGTAACTCCTTCCTGGAGTAGAAAGCCCCATCTTTCTTCCCGCCACAAGAACACAGTGGGCTTAATACCACACAAATTTATTCTCTCACAAGGTAGAGGTCAGAAATCCAAAATGCGTCAGACAGCACTAAAAGCAAGCTGTTGGTAGCGCGGGGTTCTTTCTGGAGGGTCCAGAGAAGAACGGATTCCCTGGTCTTTTTCCACATTGGGAGGCTGCCCACATCCCTTGGCTCATGGCCCCATCTTCCATCTTCAAAGCACAACACTTCAAAGGCCTGCTTCCCTCAGTGTACCGCCCTTGCTTTTCTTGCCTTTGATCTTCACGCCTTGCTCTCACACACCCTTGCACACTGGGCCCACCAGGGTGATCTAGACTAGGCTTCCCATCTCAAGATCCTTAATGCAGGCAGAAGAGTGGCCCCCAAAGAGAGGTGTCGCCTAATTCCAGAAACCTGTGCGTATGTGTTACCTTCCATGGCAAAGGGGGTGTTGCAGGTGCCATTGCATCAAGGATCTTGGGGCAGGGAGATTACCTGGATTATCCAGGTAGCTTTGAAATGTAATCGCAAGTGTCTTTTCAAAAAGAGAGACTGGGGGAGTTTGGAGTACTGAGGAAGAGTGTGACAGTGGGAGCAGGGATGAGAGTGATGTAGCCACAACCCAAGCCACACTGGCAGCCATGGTGGAGAGGCAAAGTCCAGCTTGTCCCGGGGACCTCCAGGAAAACCAGCCTTGTCTGCACCTGTCAGGCTCATGTTGGACTTCTGCTGCAGGAGAACAAACGGGTCTCAGTTCAGCCACTGTGTTGCGGTGATTCGTGACAGGAGCCACGGGAAGCTAGCTCAGCCACATCACCAAGAACAGGACGATGACCACGTGGGGGCCATTAGACTAACACAGGGCCACTGGGTGCAACCGCGGCTTGCGGGAAGTGGGGAGGGTGGTGAACTTTACGTTCTACCTCTTGAAGCGGAAGAAAGAGCCATGGAGGGCAAGTGCAGGACAAACCTGCAGGCCAGTGAGGGGCCAGTTTGCGAGTGCACTGGTAGAAAGAGGAGGGTGGGAGGGAGGCTGGGGAAGGGGTCAGGGTCACCACCTGAAGGCTCATCATGAGGCGCTTGGGCTCGGTCTTTGAGGGGAGGAGGGAGGGGGCATGTTTGGCCTGTAGGGAGCTTTCAGAATAGGTTTTGTTTTTCTAGATAAGCCCGAACCCTACACTCCTCCTTCCACTTCCCTAGCTACCCCTTCCCCTCACCCCCACCCGCCGTTCACCCCTTCTTCTGGGCCAGGGCATGAGGGTAGGCTGGGCCAGAGGCAGCCAGTCGCACACACAAATCCCAGGTCAGACAATGGGTCCAGAGACAGATTTCCATCTTTATCAGTGATTTCCATGCCAGGCTCTACTGGGCGACTCCCAGTCTGTCCCTGAGGACATCAGCTAGCATGGCTGCCCAGCTGGGACGTGCTCTGCTCTAGTGGGCAGAGGACATGCAGAGCCCAGGGCCTGGGGCTGCTGCGGGGAGCTGCTACCCTAGCAGGGAATTCTATCTCAAAAATAATTTCAGACTGCTCACCTAAGGCTGCCCATTCATTTTAAAATTCAAATAGGGCTTATTACTCCTGAGTCAAGGGATTCTCGGTCACTGAAGCTGTCCTGAGGTTTCCTGTCACCCCGACCCATCCACACACACCCTGGATAAGCACCCTGGAGGTGTGACCTCACGTCTCCATAGACCTGGGGTCTTGAAACCACAGAAATCCATTTTCTCTAAGTTCTAGAGCCCAGAAGTTCTTTTTAACCAAATCCCAGTGTGACAGGGCCATGCACTCCCTGTCAGGCTGGGGAGAGGACCCTTCCTCGCCTCTTCCGGCCTGTGGTGGCTCAGGCCATTTGTTGGTCTGTCGTGTCATTACTAAAATCTCTGCCTCTGCCTGTCCCCAGGTCCTCATCTCCTAGAAGGACACCAGGCAGGGGGTCCAGCACCCATCTAGGTAACCCAGGGTGAGCTTACATCACGGTCCTTGATTTCATTGCATCTGCACGGAGCCTATTTCCAAATAAAGGCACCACCCCGAGAGGTACCCAAGACCGAAACCAGCCCACGAAGTCAAGCCCAACTCACCAAACTAAAAAGAAACCACACACACAAACCCACTCCCGTCAAGCCGATTCAGACTGTTGGCAACCCTATGGGACAGGGTAGAACTGCCCCTGTGGTTGTCCGAGGCTGGAAATCTCCATGAAAGCAGAAAGCCTCATCTTCCTCCTCAGGAGATAATGGTGACTTTGGGCACCCGAGCCCCCCATGTCACCCACCACCAGGGCTCCTTATTCCACTCACAGGGACCCTTCAAGCCAGGGTACAACGATCCCATCGAGTTTCTGAGCCTGAACATCTTTACAAACACTGACAGCCTCCTATTTCTCTGGGGGTTGGGACTGGTGGGTTTGAACTGCCAACCTTTTGTTTAGCAGTTGAATGCTGCATCGAACACACCACCAGGCCTCCCTTAACAGGTACCAGAGGGAAGGAATTGGCCACCTATTTTGCTTTTGTTTCTAGCCAGGTGAAGGCTTGCAGAGCAGACCATAGTTTTACATTCAACAACTCATACGCATCCTGATTCAACTCGATCGCCATCTCTCAATGTACCATCGCTTACTAATGCCCCCTTGGCTCCTCCTGCCCCCGACTCCCCCTGCCCCTCACTCCCCACCCCATGTCTCCTGTTCCCATTCCACCTTCTTTCCTAACCTCCATCCTTGGGGAAGTGCTTCGCTTCTGGGCCTACATGGCGGGCTAATTCTTCTAACCCAGGAGTGAGTTTAGCCCCAGACCTGAAGGGTGACTAAGGGTCCTTGTCTTGAGGGTCCCGCCCGTCTCTCTGCAGCCAGTACACCTGGTCTCTTTGTGACCGTGAGTTGTAGTCCATGTTTTCCTCCCACTCTCTCCAGGACATTCTAAGGTGACCCCCGTCAGAGAAGCTGGTAGAGGGAGCTGGGCACCACCTAGTTCTCTGGGTCTCAGAGTTTCACAGACTGGTGTTTGCATGGGCCCTTCGTCCTTTTGACTGATGGCCTCCGTGCGTCTTTTCATTGTCAATGCCCTTCTTCTCTCTGGATGGCGAGAGACCATCCATTGCATCTCAGCTGGCTGCTCGTGAGCTTCAGAGATCCCAGGCACCACTCACCCAGTTAGGCCGCAGAGCCCTGTCTGTGTGAACTGTGTTATGCCAATGGACCTTGGTGTCCTCTGGGACTCATGCCTGCCGGGTGCTTGGTTCTGTCTAAGACATTGTCATCACTCTGTCCCTTTTGGTCATGTATTTTGGGGGGACTACTATTCAGCTTGCTATACACCCCACCCAGCCCTGGGAGAGGTCGGCGCTGCATGCCAAAATGTATGGCAGCCCCCACTCAGGACCACCCCTTGCCTGTGTTCTATGTAAATGGAGCCCCCTTGAAATTTAGTAGCCTTGGGGAGAAGACCACTAGGCTGGAGGAAGGAAAATCTGGATTCTGGCCAGCTGGTCCACTCACTGGCAAGGTGGCCTGGGGTTACCTCATCCCCCTGGTTGAGGAAATCAAAGTTGCCAGGAGGCTGGACAGTGCTTTGCAGGCCCCCTACCGAGACTCCACAGAGGGGGCTTTCAGATGAGGAGAGATGCCAGAGGGGGGCTGCTGGAAAAGGGAGCATGGGGAGACTGAGCTCCCCTCAAATCACAGATGGCAAGAAGCGGGCACGCCACCGTATCCACTCAGTCCCTCTGATCTCAGTGTGATAGACTGTGTGATAGACTGACATTCTGGACCAGACAGAACATTGACAAGGGGCTTCGCCTAGCTTCTGTTGGTTGCCTTGGCGACCACCACTGGCCTGGGGGCTGGCAACTGGCTGCAAATCTCCTTTAGGGGCTGCCTTCCCCTCAGTGGCTTCCAGTGCTCCTTTGAACCCCAGCCTCTGAAGGCCACTGGGAGCGGGCACCGAACTGGGGGAGAGGCTGCAGCATTGCCGCCCTCAAGCCCCTAACCACTGCCTTCTCAGGAGCGGGGGTCTCCCAAGCCAGGCCCCTCCAGCCAGC